GAAGCCCCCGCACGCCGACGTGCTGCGTATCCGTATTTTCTCCATTGCGACCCTTCGATCTCCTCGCCCTTTCCTTGCATTGCTCTCCCGCCCTGTAATTCATTGCCGAGGAAAAAACTATCGAGCGTCATCAATGAGCTTCCGAGCTGACTTGTGGGCGCGGTTCTCATCGAAGAATCCTCTCGCATCGGGAGGGGGAAACACGCGGAGAATTATTGAATTCCTGAATAGCTGAAGAAATGAGTATTCTGCGTGGTCGAATCACGAAATTCGACGTGCCTGCGTATTCCGACTGCATTCTCCGAGGCCATGCGATATGTCAGGGTGTGACGGGGTCGCAAGACGAGGGAGTATCGATGTAACAACCTAGCGGCCAATGACCTGAGGAGTCTCTGTGGTGGACAAGTTTACTAATCAAACTGTCCATTCTCTCCGAAAGATTTCTTTGTACTCTGATTACGCTTGGCGCCGCCGCTGCTCGCGCAGGTATCAACTCGCATTGAAGAAAGCTAGTCAGATTGGCCGGCGGGACTACAAGCGGTGCGTACAACGTTCGTAGTGGACGCACTAGCCTACCACCTCACAGACTTTCCTCACTCCTTGTTTAGCCAATCGGAGACGTTCATTATTCAACCAGCAGTGAAGTAGAAAGAAGTGAGCTATTCGCCGCTGGATGCGTCGTTCACAGCTCGCCTCGGTCGGCGAAGCGGCTCGCTCCGATACCAGGCTCATCCCCACCACCGAACAGTGGTATTTCTATGGATTCTTTTTCGGTTCGCAACTCCCGTCCCCTCCCTTCTAGCCCCAACTCAACAACCACTGACAACAACTCTTGGTAACAATGCTCAATAGCCCGCCACATTTACGCGTGTCGTCCGCTGATAAGGCGCTCGCAGAACGAGGGCGATGCGAGGGGTGTCGACGATGACGACGACGTTGCTTCTAGTGGTGTTCGTGGCAATGATATTTAGCAGATATGCAAGCGTACACACACGCTCGCTCGCTTGCTCGCGTGCGTGCGTGCCGCCCTGCCTCGTTTGACGAACACGCAGACAGTCTTGCAGACGGCGTGTCGGAATGTTTCGCGAATTTGCTCTCGTTTGCCTTCCCGGATCGGCAATTATTATTAATTTTCCATCTCTGTTAGACCTCAGGGATATGGACTAGGGAAAGCGCTCTAGATGGGAAGCGAGACGAGAAGCCCAGATCGTGAGGTCCTCTCCGCATGCTCAGGATTTCCTCGCACTGCTTCTTTTCGCAGAAGGATCTCTTGTCACCTCGTTTACCTGACCGGCGCCGTTCCCCCTTGAGGTGGTGCTTTGGAAAAGACGAACCGTCGGGGGCGTGCCCGATGCCAGCATGATTCGATTATCAAAACCCCTCGGGTATTGAGCCTACACAAAATCAACTTAGCACTAAATAAAGCCTCCAGACATAAAATAGCAACGAACATTCATCCAACCGCAGCCCCGATCGAGCCTTCTCCTCGCGGAATCCTCCGCTTCCTCCCTGGCAGCGAGCTTTGCATGACATACAGCAATGTATTCGAAAATCATATTTGGTCAGAACAGCATTCAAGTAAACGAAATCGGCCCGTCTAGTACATACGCTCAAATGCGCAGAACCACCGTCGAGTCTTCATCGTCACAATCCATCCAATATTGTAAAACTTCGCTTCGAGCTTCTCCACTTTCGGCTTGCGCCTGAAGCACCATGTTCGCTTCGATTGCGTCTTGGAGTCTCCTGATCCTCGTGTTGTGCGCGTTCGATTGAGAGTCCCGCTCGTCTTGTTCATCGTATTCCGAGAACTTCGTATGACTAGTTCCAGGATCGGCGACGTCTTCGGAATCCGGTTGCGGGTGGGTCCCCAGTCGAGATCCCTGTGAAGGGCTCTCCGGGCTGGAGGAACCGCTCGAAGAACTTATTTCAGTGGAGCTCGAGTCCGCGTCTGTTTTCTGACTCGGGGAGCCAGGGTCTGACCAGTCTGGCGAGTCGGAGAAGTCGTTGTGATCTCCACATCCGGAACGCGGGAGGGAGGCCCAATGCGGCTCGGAATCACAAGTCTGCTTCAGTCCGGGTCGTAAATGTCTCAAGTTCTTGACATATATTCCGGGGGGGAAAACAAACTTGGGGAGTGTCGACCGCGTATCCCGCAGGGTCGGACACGACACACTTCGACGAGTGCCTGAGACGAAGGAGACAGCGGAAGTTCAAATTTCTCGACTGCTGGAGTTCCTCGATGATCCGGAATCAGTACCAATACAACTACGATTCCACTAAGATATATAGGAATAGGATCGAAACACTATTTGTCCCGATGTCATTCTCGAAAGGACTCACATAATATTGTTTCCCGCTGGTCCGGGGCGGGCGCAGCATCGTCCCTGATGGCATACAGGGAGTACACGATGAGGATTTGTACCCCGAGCGACAGAAATGGAACCCCGACGAAGCGCCACAGACGAGAATGCTTAGAGCTCACCGAGTATTTCATGCTCATCACTATTGTCAAGAACGAAAGCATAATCAGCACGAATCGAAGGCTTTGTCTGAAGTTCCTTCTGTAGGAAACATGGGGAAGGTGAATTTCAGTCGTCGGTACGCCTCGAGTAATCGAGACTTCTAGGAACATCTCAAATCAGGGGCTCCCGCGCTTTGCCGGGTACAATGCACAGAATGCGGGGAAGCGCAGAAAATTCGATGAAATAATTTTCTTCTCTTTCAGGGAGCACCAGCTCGCGGGATCACAGATCCGCGGCAGAGATCCACTGTTCGAGATTATCTTCCACCACGAGTTAACTCGGCATATGTTCCCGGTAATTCACCTGAATCGTCGGTACCACTTCTCTTCGACGAGCGAAAATATATCCACACTTTTGTCATCTATATCGACCCGAAAGTCATCGTCAGGATTCGGTCTCAATGAGGCACCCCCCTCATCGATCAGCTTGTTGTACATTCCTCAACGACGAGGGTTCGTTGTCATCGATGAACAGTGGACGTCGATGAATCTCAAGCCTCCTCCGTGCGGATGGTTTTCACTCAGACCGGGAAGTCTGGAGTCGTGGATGAGGAATCGCGAGACGAAGGTACTTAATTACTTATTACATCTGAGCTCGTGCCCATCCGCACGACTTCCCATTCCGGTGGACGTTCGAGTGCTTTAGGCCGTGGAAATCCTGTGCGAATGTACGAACTCCCTTCAAAAAAAGTTTTTTATCATCTCTCCGCGCGGTTGCTTACTCGGTGCATATTCGACTCGCAATCCTCAATCTGAAAACGACAGGTTCCGAAACTCCTATCAGGAAGGTTGGACGTTTCAAAAACGTCACTCGGACCAAAAGACTGTCTCGGATCCGATCATGACTTTTCCTCGAATTTTTCCCATCCAGGGAGAGGTCGACGGAGAGCCACAAGAAATTATAATCGCGTACCCTCTAAGAACTGAAAAACGTTGACGAAGTATTCCTGACGAGACCGGACTCGATGATCTACTGCTGCAGGGTCATACTTTTTGCTTGGCTCATCCGTGATGTGAACCCTGAATTCGAGCGCCTTGCGCGACGGGTCCCGTTCTGAAGCGTTTCATAAAAAAAAAGCGGGAATATCGTGCGAAAAGGATATTTTGCAGTGCCTCTGGTACAGCGTTAGAACCGCATATGTTTCCCTGTATGGATTGATCTACGATTCGGTCATCGAAGTAGATATTCACTTGTACCCGGATAATTTCGTCAATAAACGCCATCGCGTCTTCGCTGAAGAACTCCTCTCTAATGCGGTCCGCAAGGTCTTTATATTTGCAGCGTAGATCCTCGGTGGTACACGACATCCAGGAATTTTCGACCTTATTTCTCTCACTGTAGGACAAGAGTGCATTTCACGAACACCTGTTGGCGAGCGGGAATCACGGCATCAATGCCCGGAACTCTCCAGCGGATAGTGGCACGAATCCACCATTTGTGAGAAGAAAAACCATGAGAAGTGCTCAGAAATCTGTTTTGGCACAACTCACATACGACGATCTCCCATTCAGCTGCGGGAGGATCCGACTTGATCTCAAATAAGAGATATACGATTAGAGCCTGCACGCCGAGAGATATTAATGGAACGCCGAGGAAACGCCAGTACGGAGAACGCTGAGGGTCCATGGAGAATATGATGCTAATGATCAGCGTCGAGAAGGATAGCAGAACCAGAGTCAATCGGAGGAATGAGTTGAGATAGTTCCTGGAGTGCAACGGAACACAGGGAATTCATGGCTGACCTCTGCTCATGAACCGCGAAAAGAGAAAACTGCTCGATTTTGAGTTTTCCAGATTCATTACCAAGACAAGGACTTCACTAGGCGAGTGCTCGCCTTCTTTACCGGAAACGCTGGTACCGGTATACTTCAGCGACGGAGAACAGTACCAGGTCTTTTTGATCATGGAAGGAGCGACTTCGATTCCTCGGATCGACTCTCAATGAGCCACCCAGTTCACATCCTGGTTCAGATCCCATGTTTCCGGAGAACACAATCTCGTTATTATCGGGGCATGAGAATTTCGGATTGATGGTAAGCGGACTGGATAAGATTCCTGTCTTGACTTTTTGTGTTCCTGGAACTTGTGAGGAACTCCCGGTGGGTGACCGGCTGATCGACGTTGCGCGAAGGAAACTTTCTGAAATTCTTCGGAGGTACTCCTTACGGTTATGGATGGTTGAATCGAGGAACTGACAGGACAGGGGGTTCAGAAACTTCGGATACGTTTATTTATTTAGATCAGTTGAAGACACCTATTGCACGACTACGTAGTCGAAAAGCTTTGCATCGGTCGTAACGGATTTGTCCTTGTCTCAAAGAGCTTCCTGAATAGTAATACACAATGTAAAAACGTCTTTAATAACTTATGTACACTTGAGTTAATGTCAGGTAATGTATACACGTTGCGGAACTCGGATCTCTAAACACAAACAGGGGTCGTCGTGTCAAAGTAGGGTCAGCGGTGATCGGTCTTCGTTTACGAACAGGCTTCGCCCTCGGGTTGCCAGATCTCCATCAGCGAACTACTTTCTGAGGGCAGTGAGTAATAAACGGATCTCATCGAAGCAGTGGTGACCGACGGGGTGTATTCCTCGCTGTCCAAGGAACTCACAGAATGAAAGTCGTCGGCGCTCATGAAGGAGTCTCTTTCATTGGCTCGATCATTTACGCCGGGAACCAAAAGTGTAGTGTCGTCGTCATCGTCGTCTTCCTCTACCTCATCGTGCGAAGAATCTCGGAATGGACCGTGTTTGGAAGAATCCCCGCTGGCTCGTACGTTATCCGGAGAATTCACTAGAGTGCTCTCGTTACCCGAGCCGCTGGAAAAGCTCCCAATCTCGACGGGTATGTCGTCTATGCGCACTCTGCGTGTTCGCAAAATTGGTGTTGAGGATCCCGGGATCGACTCGCGAGAGCTCGACATAGTACTAATCTCGATTGGGTTTCCAGCGGCCATCGCGATCATTTCAGTTTCTTCGATAACTGCGTCTCCTCCGGATGGGGCTTTTTCTTTGGGCAGTTTTCTGATATTTTTGAAGTGGGGCTTGAGGAACCATTGGTACCATTTCTTGTGGCGGCATCTTTTTTTCTTGGTCATTGAGCGCGCGTAGCTCATTGTGTTGAACTCGAAAACGTAATCCGGAACGATGTGCATTGTGGTGTCGGACTTCTGCGGAAGAGAATCAGTTCCGGTTAGTAGAGAGCGAGGATAGCCCTGACCATATGGATACGAGAGCCTTCTTTTGGTATCAGTAGATTTTCATCCAGGCCCCGAAAAGGAGGAAAACCCGCGCGAGAAAAAAAAAAGTTTCGTCGGTCAGGCAACTCGTGAGTGAGAGGAGCGCGAGTTATTCTGAACTCTGGCTTGAGGCAAAGCGTATACATAGCGAAGCTTCTCGAGCTTCGACTCTTGGCACACTTTGGGCCGCTCGTTCCTGAATGACGATACATATGTGCCGTTCGGTTGTGGATATCGGTCGAGCTGACGAGACTTGCAGGAAGGGATCATTTGGAAAGCCCCGATCTGCATTCAATGCACGATGACACCTTCCATTATTATTCCTTATCGACTTTCCTCTCCGCCGCGGTCGTCGTCAGACGAAAAGACGGCTTGGCTGGCTGTCTGGCTGACTAGATGAATCCCCAGTTGGGTGGCTGTTGTATGCACGAACGCGTCCATTTTTAATACAGAGCAACAGAGGCTCGACTCCCCGGAACAGCGCATGTCACTGCCATATGCGCCTAAGTACCCTATAATTGATCAGTCGAGCGCTAAACAAAAAGACGAGCCGCTTTTTCAATTAGTCCATCGGGAGAAAATACAGTTTGCAGACGATATTCAGCGATTTTCGACTTTTGATAAACTTCTCCGTGATTCCCCAGAGGAAGGTGGGAGCATTTCCTTCCACCCCACACCCGGCAGAGGATCTGGGGAAGCTCTTCCTGGGAGTGCTTCCTTCCATGATCGATCTCGAAGGAGTTACTTTATTCCTTCTGGGTCTTCCGGGAGCTTTCCACAGACGCTTGAGGCCAGCGGGAACGTAAAATTCAATCATGTGGAACGGGGTAAATTTGAGGAGTGAAATTCGAGCTGGCAAAATTCACGATGGCCAACTTTCCCACAAGAGAACTCTCCAAGGAGTCTCTCAATTTGTCGATTGTCGGCCGCACTTCTCTCCTGAAGAAGTTTGATTCCTCAGGAGGAGGGCGGTCGGACGAACAGTCGTTCTCCCGCCCTCTGCTGAAAGAACTTCTCCTCCCGTAGAAGGAAGGAATAGTGGAAGTCGACGTCTGTTGCTAACTTTACTCGAGAGATGTGAGAGGAAAGCACGGAGCAGAAATCAACACTAATGGTATGCCATCACGCTCGCTATACCGGGAGCGCACGGAACGAACATACCACACCGTTGCCGAGCGAGGGAGTTCGAGCTCCGGGGGGAAAGCGATGGGGCAAGACGATGAGGCAGCAGACTGGCGCTTACCACCACCCCACCGACTCACTTACCAGATTGCGAGTAGTAGCTGATTGTTGTTGTTGTTGCCGCCACCGCTGCTACTACTACTCCCGTTCTCGTCCTGACCACCGGCAGCACGAAGGAGGACTCCTGCATGGCGTGTGGAGAGGAGGGCTGCAGCTCGGTTTTTTGGCCAAACTTTTTGGATACTACGGTGGGAATCGAGCCATCGGTCGGTTCGTCGTCTCTTGTCTGTTATTGTCTGAATAGCCCACGCAGACTGTGTCTCTCGATTTCTCTATCCGTCTGTCTGGGGATTTTTCTTCGCATTAAGGCATCCCCAGCGATGTCGTTCCTGCCTCAGGACTCGGACCAAGTGGCAATCATACCGTGACGCCAAATCCTCACGGGAATCCTGAGCCGCCGTCGCAGCCCCTAAATCTATCCCGACTGAAATCCAGGATTCCGTCGAGCGTCTCTTCCGAAGGTATGCCATATCGCAAGAGCTCACCATCCCTCTCGCGCGAAAAAGCGATCCTGCTCGGCTCTCGCTATAGACTCTGGACAGACCGTCACTCGGCTGAAGTTCCGTTCCCCCGCAGAAGATGCTACTCCGCTCACGAGTCGAACTTCTTCAGCAAGCCTCTGTTGCAAGGTTCGCGTATCGATGGGGAATGCCCCAAGGCCCGGCCGAACGAATTTATCCAGACGCGTTCCGATCATCAACTGAACTCCGCGTCAGTATCGGAGCTCGAGAAGAATAAATAGCTTGTCGTTAGACAGTTCGCTATGCGAATCGCAAAGGTAAACAAGGCCGAACGACAAATCACTCGTAACCTCGACCAGCCGCAATGCGACGGTATTCCGGAAAGTCTCCCGCCGACTCCGAAGGCAACGTTGGAGCGCCTGACTATATGTACTTTCATGCTCCATTCGAGCTGAATAAACTTTGCATGGGCAAGATTTTTCCGTGCGGAGATTCAGAGCTTCAATTGTGGGCGGGAAAACTCCAAAATAAGCTAACGAGGTCGGTGGCATATGCGTGGTGGACAGGAATACGTGAGCGGAGAGTCGACGAAGCTCTCTCAGATGCATATCTAGAACGAAATCCATGGGTTTCGACAACGCGTACTTCTGTCACGGAAAAAACGGCCAGCACCCGCTCCGCATGACTTTCATCCCCGAGGAAAAACATCGACTGGCATTTCGATTGTGGATCCAGATCGATTGTTGTTCTTCCCTCTTACCGTGTTGTTAAGCTTCTTCTCGCAGTGTTCCGTCTCGTTTGCTCGCCGCAGCAGTAGACTCTTGCTTAATTCGACTAAAAGGGCTCGGAATCCCACTCACGTCTGTTCGTTGGTCGTTGCATACGAGGCCGACCGATGCCGCCTCCAAACGTTCCCATTGCTCGCTCCGCTTCTTCCTGGCCGATACTGCCCCGAGCATTATCCTGTTCGCTATCTAACTTTTCCTCTCTTTTCCTCTACTGCAAGCGAGCATCAGATTTCGACTCGGCTCATCACTTGCAGCGTCTTCTGATGGATGAACATCGAGTTAACGCGACCAAACTACATGCTCGAGCAACGGCTTGAGAGCTCCCTCTGTTATGGACAGGTGGGCGTCGAAGCGCCAGGCATAATTAACAAGACTCGCATGCGCCAGCAGATCTCGAATAAAAAAAAAGCTCGATCACTCCTCTTCCGACACCGGATCCGCGACATTCCGTGACGGTTTTCCCATGCTGAGGGTCCTCCGGTGGGATGCCGTGGAATGGGATCGCGCCAGAGCACGGGCCCGTTTGCGATGATTTCTCCTCGACGAATAAAGGAGAAATCGATCGCCCTTCACGTAAGATGGACCGATCAAATGAGATTAGAGCAACGTTATTCCGAGTCTCAAAGACCGAATCCGAAATGAATTGAATGAGTCTCGTACCGTAGCTCAAATGGGGAGGATACGAAAGAGTTCACCTCGCCCTCGATGCGGTCGCAAGCGGATCAGGAAGCGGCTATTTTTATTCCTCACGGCACTCACTGCGACTCGTTCTCGCGACGGACGTGCAGATGGTCTTGTTTATGAATATGAGTCCGAGCTCGTAATTTTATAAATGAGCATGGATTTACGTGTGCCAATGTACACAATAGTCGTTCATAATTTGTCACTGGGCAAAGCCTGTTGTTCGGTGCAATCGTACTCTGGAAAAAGACTTCACGTCCGTCGTCGCCCTCGGTCGGCGAGCGCTGGCGACTGTGGCTGCGATGAGGTTTTGTCATTGGTCTCCCTCAACTAGTCGTCCCTATTTCATGCTAATTGGCGCCGTGCACGTTGCAATGCGTTGTCCGTTCACCGCCGCCGGTCTCCCGTTTCCCTCTATCTATCTGTCTATGTCTCTCTAGCTGACTGCCGCCGCGGCCGTTGTGGTAATCCACGGAAGAGGCGGTGAGCAGGAGCTCATACATAATACGGCCGTGTTTACAGGATCCGCGTCGAGTGGTCACAGGAGTTTGGCGAGGCGGCTCACGTTTCACAAAGTTGAGTTATGCAAATGCTGCTTGGCCCGTAGGTAGGTCGGCTACCGACCGACCGACTGACTGACTGCTCGCCTGGGGGTAAGGAATGGTTTTCTGACTCAAGAATCCAAGGGAGCGTCGTCTAAGTCAGGAACTTCTGAGCCTCGGAAATTTGAGACTCACTATGGGATTCATCGACGTGCAACCCGCTGTCCAACCGGCTGTCGAGGGCAGAGAGCAGCGGCGATTGATCTGAGCTCAACGTAAGAGAAGTTTCGAAATAAGGCCTCGTCCTCGATGTAGAACCAACGACGTTGCCGGGGTGGAACAATGCCCGGATCATCGGATAATTCCGCCGGGGAAAAATCACGGATATAATTCCACGAAAATTCAGTTTTCGCATAGGACCCGCGAACGTGGAGACTATATTTTGTTCCAACAAGTTGCCCGAGTTCAAGGCCAGTACTCAGTCAGGGGAAATGAGGGAATGAGGTGGGATCGGGGGAAAGCGTTGTTCATACGGCGCGGCATCGTGAATGCCTTCGGGACGCCGATCATCAACATCTGTTTCGTCAGATTCTGCCCTTATCGAGCAGAGCCCAAACAGAAGCAAAAGTTATCTACGTCACTGAACCGTCGGAAAGCACGAGGCACATTGTTGCCAATAAGGGAATTTATGTTCGCCGTCTTCGCTGTTTCGGAATCCGTAATCAAATTTGCTATCGATTCCCGTTAACATCACCGTCAGCCTCCGCCCGCGTCGTCTTCTCCTCCAACACCTCTGAACCTTTCTTTCGATTTCGGTGGGATATCCACCTCCGTACGCCGCAGCTGACATCTGCGGAGTCTGCGGTGGCTGTGGCAGCCCGGCAAAAGCCATGACCTGGCGTACATGGCTGAATAGCCGGTTTCTTCGACTTCCGCTCCCCGCCTCATTCCAGCGCGGGCTGGCGACGGTAAGTGCTGAGCGAGGCTGCTAGAGGATAAATTCGCCGAGGCGGGTAGATGAATTTTATTTTTCTCACCGACGAGCCCTACCCAATCGGATGTTTTGGAGCTGCCAGAAACAGGCGTCCGTGAGCGAGAAAGTCGACTGAGGAACATCTGTTGGTGAACTGTCAACTTTGGTCGCCACGCAACTCAATCAAAACTTGGCTGACTTCAATTTTCCGCGTCAGGTGCCTATGCGGCACGCGCCCAACGCA